GTTTTCTGCAGTTTGGGGGGGCCCCTCAGCCACAGGATTTCATTTCTTTACAGAGAACAGCATCACATGCACGATAAGGTTATCAGTCCCCAGCACCCTGCTGCCATCCCCGACCAAACTATCACTTGGAGAATCCAGCACGGCAGAATTCAGGAGTTTTCACCCACAGTAAACAACTCAAAAAAGCCCGGAGGCAGAGGAATTAGAGGCACAGGAATCCCTCATCAACCAAAAGCCTCTTCCTTCTCGAGGGATGAAGGCTCGGAAAAGCATCGAGCTTTAAACTTTCCCCCTTCCATCCCAAATTTATTTTTCTCCTGAGGTGCTCCTCTTATAAACACGTTTATAGGTTAACTCAGTTAATCAACAGTTACCAAGCTGGTTAGTTGTTAAACGTTAATCACCAGGTTAAATACCTCGATTCTGTTAATTACCCTACCCAACAGACCTCTGTACCCTCTTTTTTATCAGTCAAGTATTACCTCTGCTGCTTCCCAAACTGGCCCTAGCCATAAAGAAGGTAACGTTAGGGACGTATATGCAAATTAAATTAGGAGACATTCGGCACCATTGGAAGGAGTAACACCTAGAAAAGACGAGCCAGCCTGCACTTCAAGAGACTGTGACCTCTCCTGCTTGAGAACTGTCCTCCTACTCACGGCGTAATTCAGGCTGTCACCACAAACCAGCAAGAATTGGAGCAGGGTGAGGACCCTAGACAACCCAAAACCCAAAAGTGTCTTTCTGGGCACTTTTGTGAGGATGGAAGCCCCAGCTGTGCCACAGAGCAAAGCTGCCCATCTCCTCCTCCACGATGCTGAAGGGAGCAGGGACAGTGCGTGTGACACCTCGGGCCCGCACCCAGAGCTGATTGCACAATAAAGGCATTAAAAAGGAGGTTAAAAACCTCCTTGCCCATTGATTTTGTTATATGTAGTAGATATGATTCACACAATTTCTAATATGATATATGTGATATTGAATATTTGTTGGAGTATACACGTTTGTATTAGGATTGCTCCCCACCCTCGCAGGTGAGACCGGGTGTATATTGGAAACTGATTTACAAATAAGAAGGTGCGGCTCGCCAGGAGATGAGATGGGCCATGGCTGGGGAGATACAGGAGATGGACCATGTCTGGGGAGATACAGGAACCCCAGGTGCTGATCATCGCCTGAACGACCCGAGATGGATCTCATGCAAATCCTCAGGCAGGTCCATGTGAATGCAGTGTTGCCGAATTGCCATAAAATTTCATCATGGGATTCAACAACTACGGACACTGAATTGTTCTCCCTCATCACCAATAAAGAAAATCTCATTAACCTATGGACTCTGGATAGAAGACTGACTGCCAAAATCTTGGCCTCAGGCAGAATTTTCCCTATAAAAGCTGCTCCTGCCAGGATGGAGGTGTGAGCATAGAGGAAATCCTCTCCCGAGGCTGACTCCTGGTGCCGACCCCAGGCTCGGCTCTGTTCTTTCCTTGTGTCTGGCTAGCTAGAATTTGATCGCAAAGTAAGTATTTTATTTTTTCATATTAATTTAGCTAAACAAATTTGCATTTATAACAATTTCAATCCCAAAGGACTTGGACCCTGCAGCCAACTCCAAGGAGTGACCTCTGGCTGAGCTCCTGGAAGAGAATCAAACAGCAGCAAGCAAAATGTGACAGGAGCCGTACAGGGCAGGCAGGTGATGTCATCTGCTCCAAGGACAGGGGGCTGGTGCAGGCTGGGAATTTCCCCTGGAATTCCTGCACGCCCATTGAATCCGTGCTCAGCAGATCTCCAAACCTGTGGACTGTGTCCAGCCGTGACGCGAGACCGAACGGACATGACGCAATATCGTACCACCATGTCATGTGAATCATCCCCTGAGCAGCTCCCCAGACATTTTAT